GGGAGGAGGGGGAGAGGGGGGTAGAGGATGAGGGAGGCGGAGAGGAGTGGGAGGAAGGAGGGGGCGATGGAGAGGAGTGCGGAGGGGAGCTTTACGGGGCGGCCGAAGAAGCCGTGGAAGACGCTGTGGGTGATGGAGGAGAAGGCGAAGAGGGAGAGGAGGAGGAGGGAGAGGAGGAAGAGGAGGAGGAAAGGGATAGGGTTTTGGTTGTTTTGGGTGAGGGTGAGGCTGAGGAGGATGTGAGTGTTGGAGGAGAGGAGGGAGGGGGAGACGGTGAGGGAGAAGGAGAGAGGGAGGAGGAACATGACGGAGAGGGCCAGGAAGTGACGGGAGTGGGCGTGGATTATGCGCTTCGACTCCGACAGGATGCCCCACAGGTTAAGGCTTGCTGTTGACCCTCCTGCCATCTCTGCTCTTCCCTTGCCTTGCTTCTTCCGCTGCTACTTCTACTTCTACTTCTACTTCTACTTCTACTTCTACTGCGATTACAATAAATCATTAAATAACTCGCTGTTTCGGTTTTTGCAAGCCCACAACCTTGCGTTGCATGACTTTTCCAGGCCCACTTCATGCTCTGCCTTCTCATCGCTGCTTATCTTTAAGATAAAATGCTGTTTCTAGATTTCCTTACGACTAACAAATTATTATTATTTTTTTATGAATAATAATTATTAATTTTTAAAGTTATTCGAGTTAAAATTATTTTATATCTTTTTATTTATTTAAAAAAAAAATTAAAATATATTTATATATAATTGGCATTAAATATAATAATTATTTAAAATAAAATTTAAATTTATGATAAAATTAATTAAAATTAAATATATTAATTATTTTTGTGACCTTTATGATTATCCTATATTTTTTATAATTAAAAATTTTTTAAGACTTACACTTTTATTACTTGATATTTTTTTTTTTCGTTCCTGGAGTATTTACCGCTGATAACGGTGACTAATCTCTTATTACTTGATATTTAATAATATAATTAAAACGAGAGATATTTTTTGAAAGTTGATATGGTCTAAATTATTCTAACACATTACACAAATAATTTATTCGTGGTGTGATTCAATTCATTTGTGTTTTATTTAATTGATTCAAATAAAATTTTATGTATAGTATTTTTATTCAACTGTTTAATTCTATTATCCTATTTAATATATAGAATTGTTATTGTATAAAAAAAAATAAAGAATTGTTATTTGAACTCTATACGCAAGGAATAAAATAAATGATTTGAATATAGAGAATCTGGATATTTGTGTCTTTATTAAATTTTCTATACATGCATTTTTGATCTATTTATAGATCATCTTATAACTTTTGATGAAGAGATATAACATTTAAAAGAGATACATCCAGAGATATAATCATCTTCAATTTCAAGATAATATATAGGCTTAAATATATTTTTAGTCACTTAAATTTAAGATAAATTTATTTTTGGTCTTTTAAATTTAAAATTATTTTTTTAATTCATGCGATTTAAAAAGAAAATCTTGTTTTAGTCTTTTAGATCACAAATGACATATCTAAAAATAATAAATTGAAATAATTATGAACTATCAATGGAGTTTAATGTTATGTCTTTACCAACACAAACACTATAGTAAGTAAATTTTATGCAATAATATATAATAAATTCTCAAAAAAAAAATTGAGTATAAGAGTTAAAACAAGATTTTTTGAACTTACAGAAACTAAAAAAATTAGTTTTTAAATTTGAAAGACTAAAGATAAATTTATCTTAAATTTGAGATACTAAAAACATATTTATATTATATATATATATATATATATAT